CCACTTCCAGTTGGTGCGCACTGATCTTTTCAAGCAAGCTCTTTTCAATCCGGTTCTCAACTTCCCGGATGGTGGCCTTGGAGTCCGGGACAACAGGACTGGTCAGAGCAGCTGGCGCGGCCGGAGCCCACGGGTCGTTCTTCAGCCATGGGTCAAGAGGGGGAGATGGTTCTTTGGAGCACAGCTGGACCGTGGCAGTGTTGCCAATGACCTGGCCAGACATGGGAGAAGGAGCAGCAGGGCTTTCAGAAACCTTGGTGATGACAACTTCATTGCCTTGGTAAAGTACCACCGCACAAGGGGGCGGGGTACTCGCCTGGACTCGCCACATGTTGCCTAAGACACCGTCCACTGAACGGCATGGATGCAAAGGCCTGGCCTGCCACCGCCACTGCGCGCAGAGTTTGCCAACTGTGAGGCGGTCACAACCAAAGGGTAGCGGCCCCAGTTCATATGTTGATCTTGTGCCGGCGGCAAGGAAGACGCTGCCGGGCTTCAACACCTTGGCAAGTTCAGGGGCATCAGCAAGTTTTGTTCTCAGGCCAAGTCTGGAACCCACGCGAGCAACACCAAGGACACCTGCAGTGCACTGTTGCAATCTCAAAAGTTCAGCTTTGTCAGTCTTTGGGAGCCACAGGACTTGATAGTCAAGGTTGGGGTCTTTTGAATCCAATGACCGAGGTTCAAAGAAGACACCGCCGCGGCCCGAGTAGGCAAGGATCGCCTCCAACTGGGATTCCAGGCACCTGAAATTGACAATAAAGATGTCGGCATGCTCAGCAGCAGTAGGTTTGAACGACGTCGAAACCCATTGGCGACGCCACACATCAAGGACAGGATCAGCAACCACGGAGTCAGCGGGCTGGTGCCACTTTGGACAAGAGCACGATTGCATTGACTGGTCATTGCGACAGGCTTGCAAGGGAGGAACCAACCCAAGAAAGTACTTCACCGGAGCACGCACCACTTGGTCCCAGTCCTCAACAGAGTCTCGGTAGATCGAAACCTTGAGACAAGCCGCAGGTTCATGGAGCGCTTCCGAGGCTGGAGCAGATGGTTTGGACACAACAAGCTGTTGACCCAGTTGAACCAAGTAGACAGGAACAAGGATGGGCTCACCATTGGCCTGACACCGAAGAATCACACGCAGGAATGACCACGCCAAAGTAGTCTGGAGCTGAGCAGCATCGACATTCAGCAACAACAGAGCAAGGGACCCTTGAGACACAAGTTGGCCAGCACGCAGGTACGCCGAGGCTTGATCAAGAGTGCACACGACAACGCCAGACATGAACGGACCAATATCCTGGAGACCAACTTGACCAAGAGGTTCACCGGATGGTGTGGCGAAGGCACCTTCTTCAAGGAGAAGCTTGGCCGGGTCAAGACCTGGAGGAGCCTCAGGTTTGGCATGGGGCTTCCCTGAGGGGTTCAGGTTCTTCTTCTTCCCTTTAAGTCCACCTTGGGCTGCCTTCTTCCCAACGCTGGCCTCAAGCTCGGAAGAAAGGACAAGCTGAAAAGGGGGCCGACACTGATTAGCCGCAGCTTTGAGGGCACGCCAAGGTTGTCCGGAAGTCAACGCCTTCTGAGCAGTTGCAAGTCCAATCGCCTGAAGGAGCAGAGAGGCACGATTTTTGACCTGAGATGAGTCCACCCCATGTTCAGTCAAAAGTCCATGAAGTCTGTCAGAAGCTCTGGGGTCAAGGCCGGCACCAAAAATCCAAGGGCGCGGCACCGTCGAAACTTCATCAAGGTGAGCAACAAACAAGGATCGCCCAATTGCATCAAGTTGCATGGCTTCCTGGGTGGACGTTGGAAGCATCTTCCCTCGCAACATATGGTCGATGAACCGCAGCGCACAAATGCCACAAAGCTGTTCAACAGCGAAGCTTCGGTGGACAACATGGACAGTGAAAGTCCTGGAGCCAACGGCCATGGCAATGGCTTGATGAAGGACGGAGAGCTCAATGGGAGGAGAGCCAGGAATGTCCCAACTGGACGCAATGACACAATGAGAAGTCCAAGTCCAAATGAACGGAGACCAGTGATGGTTCACACAGACAACCCCCAAGATGGCAGTGGGCTTGAAGTCCAAGCTACGGATCCACTGGCTAATCAGAGAAGAGGAAGGGCGCTTCACTGCTTCAGCACACAAAAGAGGGTCAATCACCGCCCAGGTGGGTTTCTTGGCTACCGTATGCATCTGTTGCATGTGGTACATCATCTCATCATCAGCCCAAACTGTTCCCTGGTTAGCCAACGTTTGTTTCCTGGCTTGGGAGTCCATGGTTTGTGCACGCAAGGCATTCATGAGAGACAAGTCAGTAACAGATGGCTCAGACACCAACAGCAAGCGCTCCGCACTGAGACTGGCCAAGGGTTCAAGGGGATGCGCAACAGGACCAGCAGAACACGCAGCATCTGAAATTGGAGCTTCAACCGTGATAGGAGGGACCTCGGGAACATCAGTAGATTCAGCAACCCATGGCAAAGTCGGAGAGACAGTGAAAACGTCGGCAAAGTCCATTTCAGCCACAGGAGTGCTACGAGTGACCCACAAACAACGACCCGCTGCAGGGTTACTGCCATTCAATTCCAAGCCAGTCGCACAATCCAAGACCCTGACATCATGAGACTGAAAGTCCAACAGCTCATGTGATGCAGCAAGGACAGCAGCAATGGTGTCTCCAGGGTCAGACAGACGAACAAGGTACGGCACCAAATCGGTATCATGGACAACCGTCACATCAGCAGGACCACCACAATGACAAAACTTCGCCCAAGGAGCACACGACGGGTCATCACCAGGAAGGGAAGATTCCACAGGCGGTTCAGGCAAATAAATCCACAGCAGGGACAGGCATGAAATTCAAGCTGTCAACAAGTTGCAAAACTTGGCCCTTCAACTGATCAAGCATTCCAATGGGGTCCAAGACACTGTCGCCAAGCAAAACCATGTCAAAATGCCGTTGCAATTGACCAGCAATCCAAGCAGACTGGAGCGGACTCACCATCTGACCCAAACCAGCAACCACCAGTCGAAGGTCATCAGGCCAGACAATCTCTGGCACTCCATTCAAGAGGCCAACTTCGGTCGGATGTGGATGGCGCAGCAACGGCACTGAGGAGTCAGATGCATTACCAGTCTCAGGCAGTGGAATCAGGATACCATAAATGCCTTTGGCAGCTAAGGTTTCATGGCTAAATCCAAACGCTCTGCAACCGCAACGACATCCAACAGCTTGGCTACCCCATGAGTGAAGTGCAGTCGGGCACTTGGCATCCAACTTGAGGAAAAGTCTGCCGATGTTTTGCTCATATGTGGTGAACTTCTCAAGTTCTGCTGTACTCAAGACAAGTTGGTCAAGCTCGGCTTGGGCCAGGGACAAGGGACTGCTGAAGACATCACGGGGGACAGACGGATGCTCGGATGCAAGGAACGACTGCAGCTGTACACAACCTAAGAAAGGTGCTGTCAATACAGCACACCATCGGCTCCTACGAGAAACCCAGACATCCTCAAGTCGTAGTGTGGTTTCTGCCAACCTGTAACCACACTGCGACGCAAAGGAGTCGACAAGGCTGCGAACCATCGAATTGTTGCCTGCATCCTGTACGCATTCAAGGATAACTGCCAGAGATCGAAGGCGGAATGCGCCCTTGAGCGCCTTCGGAAGCGTCAAAGAACGCTCGTCAGCGGCTCCCATCCTGAGTCCACCTGAGGAAAACGGCTGGCAGGAAAATCCGCACATCATGGTGGTCGGAAACGGATGCATCTGGTGGATCTGCTTCACAACCTGGGCATCACCAATGTCTCCCTGAATGGCTGGGATATCAGGGTGAATTTCTCTGAAAGCTGCGACAAACGGCTCACACCAATCAACAGCAACCACCGTCTTCATTCCAACATGACTGAATCCCATAGTTCCAATACCAATTCCAGCACAGAATTCTACCAGATTCCAAAGATCGGATCTGGTACTCCTGCGATGAAAAATCACATCATCGTTCGAAGCCACCTGCAATGCGAGAGCTGGCACTTTGGCCACCACCTGAGCTCTCAACACAGTCATACTGAACGCTGCATCAGGCACTTTTCCGATTCCATGGACCTTCACACGGGTGCCACACGGGAACAAAGTGCCAACCACTGTGTCACCTGTGGTACAAACCAGATCAATGACAGCCTCAGTGCTAACACCGACATCACTGTTGAGATCAAAACGCCAGTCGATTGGGTCACCGGGGTCCCCCCAAAGAGCCATGGCTTCCAAAACAGAGGTGATCGAAAACACTCACCGTTCGCCTGCGCAGCTCACCCGCTGGCAGGGCTCGTGAGCTTGAGCTAAATGAAAAATGTTCCAAACCACCAACCAGTTAATCATGTTCATGTTTTTTTCTCCATTACAAACCATCCAGCTATTGGTTTACCAACCCATTTTAGGAAACCCCCATTGACGAACCAATGATCATTGGGATTGAAACAACCGCCCCCTGTCAGGTGACTTCCCCCAATAGTATCTGGTTAACCCCTTCTTATGAGCTGGCGCGCCCCCAGTTGTAACTTGGTTTGTACCCCCAACTAACCTATTATTATATATATATAGATATATGTATATCAAATATATCTATCTATCTACCATAAACCCTAGTGAAATAGTGAAGTTGGAGTTATAAAGCAACTTAGCAAAGGAACTGGGGCACCACCTTTTCTTAATTGTTTGCTTGAGATTCGCCCCCCAAAAGTAGCTGGCTCATAGATGTTAAAAGACCCCTTCTGAGTTGTTGGTTCAGATCATCCCTCTGAGTTCTTGGTTCATAGACACCGTTTGTTCGAGCCTTCTTACCCATATGCTCCATGGTGCTGGGACATTTACCAACATTGGCCCGAACAAAATCACCCAAATGTAGGTAAATATACCAGCACCATGGAGCATATGGGTTACTATAACCCTCAATAAACCCAACAGAAACTGGAACGGTGAGATCACCCCTTGGGCCTCGCGTCTGTTGCTGGAGGACACCGCTTGCACACCTCGGATGGTCTTCGTGAGGACCAAAAAGTGGTAATCAGTGCCAATCTTAGATACCCTGCACAAAAAATCTTAGCTGGTGAGTAGATAATCCCATTGCTATCAAAAGACTAAAGGATTAAAGTACCCATCTAAGATTGATCTAGTAATGTGGATTAATATGGTATACAGTAATAGGATGCTGGCTTTGAAAGACTTCAGCCTGAAGAATGAGCATGTGCTGACTTGGCAGGACCTTTTGCCTTTTGACTGAAAAGCCTGCATTCTCTAGAGCATGTGTTTTTGCTGCCTATAGCTCAATGTTTCTTTCTCATTTTGCTGCAAACATGTCTTTGCATGAGTCTTTTGCAGGAGCTTCCTGGAGAAGAGGCTTTGACACCCACCAATTTTCAGCAGTTCATGAAGCACCAAGCACAGGAAACAAGAAGGCTGAATGAAGAGGTGGAAAAGTTCAAGGCTTTGTTGAAAAGCAGGAAAGAACTGTGAGTGGTGTGACTGGGGCAGGTTTTTTTTTGGCAAGTTCACCAGAGCCACAGCCTACTTTTGGCAAAGCAGCTGTAGGGATGCTTCTCTCAGAAGCCTTGAAGTCACTGTGGGTACATATGTTTCTTTCCTGAAGTGGCACAAGTTTTTCTTGTTTCAGTGCTTGTAGCAAGCAGAGAGAAGATTGTGGCTGTTGTTTCTCCGAACAACAAGGCAAGCTGAGCAAGTTCAAAAAAGAATTGAACAGCAGTGCAATGAAGAACTGAGAGCTGTGTGTTGTTAATGCACAAAGACTTTGTTTGTCTGCTTGCTTGCTTGGACTTGCATGTGGCAGCAGGTGCACATGTGGCATGACAGAAAAACAGCCCAAGAAGACTTTGGACAAAGCAACTGTCAAAATTGTGATTTGTTTGGTTTCTCTAAGTCACATTTGCTACATTTGCCAACCCCATGCAAAACACTAAGTAACATGTGGTGCCATGTAAAGTTCATTACAAATAGATGTAGCTGACAACAAAACGTTTTTGTTCGACAAGAGTTTTTCAAACACTGTCTTGCTCTTGTGTTCTCTGGAGCAGCTGCCATGGCGGAGCGCCTCCTTTTCTGGAGCAGCTGCCATGGCAGAGCCTCCTTTTAAAAAGAGAAGGGGTGGCATCAAGCAAAGGATGGCTGCTTCTGCAAGGGAATGCATGCCAGAGGAAAGTCAAAAGACAAAGTCATATTTAGCTGATCACCTCCTGGAGAAATAGGCTTGGGGACAAAGAAGCCCACAAGAAGTTCAACAAGAAGCACACATGGCTTGCAAGGATATTGAATGCTTAGGTGGCACACCGCCAAAAGATTTAGTGTTTCTGGCATCCTTGGGCACTTCAGGGCAATATAGCGACAAAATGCACAATGAGCTCTTGGCTTGGTCCAACAACAAATGCAAGCAAATGGTGCTTCCTTACTTTGTCAAGTTGGATTTCAAAGAGCCATACAAGAAGCAGCTTCAAAGTATGCTGCTTCCTCATGAGATTTTCAGCTGTTTATTTCATGAATACAAAGAAAGCTGGAAGCAAATTATTTTGCCTTCTTCAGCAAGGTTGCAAGAATTCTGGGACTTGCAGAAGCCCCACCCAGCCTATTCTAGAATGGCTTCGATTGCTGGCTTTGACAAGAAAATGGTTCCTATTGCTTTCCATGGTGATGGCACCCCAGTCATTGGCATTGGCAAGATCTGGGGCAGACAATTGACCATATTCAGTATGAACTCTTTGCTTGGCCTAGGAAGCACTAAACAAATGCAAATCCATCTCTGGTCCTGCTTCGATGAAACTATGAGTGCCCAGACTTTGCCACAGTTCTTCAGAATCTTGGGCTGGAGTTTGTCTTGGCTGCAATTGGGGCAATGGCCAGACAGAGATCACAATGGAAAACTGTATTCATTCTGCCTCTTCCAAGGAAGGGCTGCGGGCACTGACACCCTTGGCTGATGGTTTCTGTGGGACAATCTGGTCTCTGGCTGGTGACTGGGAGTATCTGTCAGCAGTGTTGAAGCTACCCCATTATTCTTCCAAAGCAAGCCCTTGTAGCTTGTGCAAATGCACAGGGGGATCTGAAGCAACAAGCTGGAAGGATTGCAGGCCAACAGCAGCATGGATGGGTATGCAATGGACTCCCAGAGAGTGCCTTGGCATGCTTATAATGTTTCAGGCAATTTGTTTTCTTGCGTTTGCTTGTTATTTTCTGGAGAACCTTCTTGTTTTGCTGTCCACGAGCTTTCCCTTAGAAGGCTGAGCCCCTTGTGCTATTTCAGGTGGAAGAAATGGGATGGCAAGTCATCTTGCAACAGTTCCAACGCTGACAGCTTGCAACACTGCCTATGACCTCATGCGTTGCAAGTTCTTGGGATCTGACCAAGTTGTTTTTGGAAGCTGCCTGTACCTTCTCTGCTTTGCTATCTTAGACCAAACACCATTGCAGAATTTGCAAAAATGCGGGGAATTTATCTTGGAATATTATAAGGAACACCAAATTGTGGAAAGATATCGAGGCATGACAAAATTGAGTCTATTCATGAGAAAGAAGGGGGGGCCAAAGTTGAAAGGAAGGGCTGCACAGGTGCAACACCTTGCAGCACCTCTCTGTGCTTTGTGGCAGAGCAAGATGAATCCACATGTGGAGGTTCACAGAAAGATTCCGACTTTGCTCAAAACAAGTGTGGAAATGAACAGCTTGCTCCAAGCTAATCAGCACAAACTTGCATTTGATCCTGAAGAAGCAGAGAGATTCAAGAAATGTGCATTTGCTGGTGCCCAGCTTCACAGAGATTTGTCTCAGCACTTTGCAGAGGAAGAGAAGCCTCTACTTGCTGCTATTCCCAAAATCCATGCAACACTGCATTGTGCTTTGGCTTGCTCCTACTTGACCCCTCGACTTACCTGGTGTTTCAGGCAAGAAGACAACATGAATGTGCACAGAGTTTTGGCAAAAAGTTGTTGTAAAGGAATCAAAGGCCCTCAAGTCACTGCAAAGATGGTGGCCAAGCTGAGGGTAGCTATGCGCATCAACTTCTGTCAGGCATGAAAAAAATGCCAGCTGCCAAAGGGCAAGGAAAGGGTGGGAGAACAGGAAGCAGAAACTGTCATGTCCAAATGGGCAATGTGACTAACTTTCTCTTGCAGTTTGAAAGCTGCAATTGCATTGTGTAGCAGTTGCATGAGCACAGCAGCCTGACAACTATTCAAACTTTGAATCAGCTGCAGGAGGTTTGTATGTCCAAGAAAAGTAACATTTTGGCAGCTGCATGTAGTTTGCATGCTGAGAACTATGTAACAATTTGGCAGCTGCATGTGGTTTGCATGCTGAGACCTAAGTAACATGTAGCAGTTCCAGGGGGTTGTATGTAGAAACTAAGTAACATTTTGGCAGCTGGATGTGGCTTGCATGCTGAGAACTAAGTAACATGCAACAATTCCAGAGGGTTGTATGTTGAAACTAAGTAACATTTTGGCAGCTGTATGTGGCTTGCATGCTGAGAACTAAGATGAACTAAGTAACATGTAGCAATTTCTTTTGATGTTTTGTAAATGAAAGCTGAGTAACATGTGGTGTTTTTCACATGTACAGAAGGTAAAGGAATTCAAAAAACAGATGCACAAGATTGAAAGTTATGTTACAAACATAGGCAATTTCTAAGGTTATTTGATCAAATAGACTTAAGTCTATTTTACTAAATAACCTCGTTTAGGTTATTTACTTGATCTGACTAATAGTCAGATATTTGCCTCAAAACAGCAAACTAACTATTAGTCAGGAAATAGTCTAATCTGGTCTTAGAGGGGTGCCATCTGCACATCCTGAGCGAGGTTTTCGGTGTGCAGGCAGTCCAAGAATGACCTACCCGCTGGTGTACCGGTAACGAACTCTTCCACCGCGCTCGCAGCAATCCCTCGTTTGTCACGGGAGAACCCAACCACTGCTGATCGCTGATCTAGGACAAAACGTCCCGGTTTATTCGTAGTAGTGAGCAAGATTATGCGATCCCATTCAGAACCCTGCACCTTCGCCACAGTAAGCACATCCACACCACTTTCAGTGCCAAGCAGTTCTTCAACGAGAGCTGCCGGCGCTGCATAATATGTGAAGACGGCCAAGGATCCAACCTTGGACTTTTTAACTGACTTGCAAAGTCCGACTGCCCACTGAGCTTCCGCAACGTTGACAAAACTCGTACCGCGCGGCTCCATTGAGGTTGTCAAACGCCTCCAAATCAACATGGAATCCTCAGCAACTGCAGCACTGGATGTGAAAGGAGCACCGTAAACACGCATGCCAAGGGCCGTGGCCCGATCTCGTGGCATTCTGTGCTGTTCGGTGATTGTGGCCTCCGGGGCTCCGGCACCAAGGAACGCTTCCAATGCTCCATTGGCAAGCATCGTTCTCTTGACTATTGGTGAATGCACAAGGGGAGCAGCCTGGTGCTTGTCCCCGACAAGAAAGACTCGCGTTAACCTCTTGACCACATGCAGCAAGGTCAGAATCTGGGACAAGCGAAGCATTGCAGCTTCGTCACACAAAGCCAAATCATATGCCTTGGCTCCTCCAACACCGGCAGCTGCATCTATCGAGACAACATTGGTGGAGGCAGATGAAAAACAAGAGCAACTGCTAAAGAACATGTTGAGGATTAACTGCGCCAGAAACCTTCTTGGCTCATCCGGTAATAGAAAATCGGAATTCCAAAGGCATAAACTCTGAACTTACTAATCCCTATAGATAGTATTAGTATTACATGTATCATCTGAATCTGAATCTTCTGGGCAAATTATTAAAATTCAAAAATTGGAAACTGTCTATTAACCATGATTTGTAATGAACTCATTGTGAAGTCCAACAAAACTACACAGGTAGATGTTCACCCAGTTTTCCAGCGTCAGTAATCCTACACACCCGGCCCCAAAACGAAAAAGAACGAATGGTTTTCAGCTCCCTTTTTGACAAAGGGCTTAGCCGCTGGACGTTCTCTGTCTTCATCTATCTTCCCATGAAAGTTCATTTAAAAAACCAACAGACAACAAACTAATAGGACAAGTTTTGCCAAGCTAACCTCACACTTTACTGAGTTTAAGCCAGTTGCTTGCTTCAAGACAGGGTAACCCAGCGTGCGTTCGCAGTCAGGTCGCAAGTTCGGCAAGCTCAAGGGACTTAGCTCCTGATCATGGCCGAGATGTCTGTGGTTATTGGGGGTTAGTATGAACCAACTCATATGGTTTATACAAAAATGACTTGATCTGATGGTAAACCAATGTTTAAAACAGGAATGGATTACTCAAAAACAACTTACAGGATGGTCCTCCCCAGTTATGTTTGTTGGTTTGTCAACCCCATTAACTAGATCGTTATATCTACATATATACCTATACAGTGCCAATCTTAGATACCCCGCAAAAAAAAATAAATTCTTAGCTGGTGAGTAGATAATCCCATTGATATCAAAAGACTAAAGGATTAGTTCCTACCCATCTAAGATTGACCTAGTATCATATATCTACCATAGTTGCTCTAGTTAATGATATACAGTATCTATCAATTTATATCATAACAAACGGATATATCATGTATCTACCATAAACCAGAGTTAATTCAGCCAGAGAAATCTCTGAAAACTCAAACGCGAGCTCGCTCGCCCGGGGGCCCCATCCAACTCCCATGGCAGAAGCGCTGAAAGCCGAAGGTCCAATTTCCGATTGCAGTGGATGTACCCCCTGGTTATGTCAAAATAGCTACTGAAAATGGCCATTGAAATAGTGGATTTACCCATGAAAATGAGTGATTTTCCATAGTTGTTTACATAGCTATTGAAAATGGCAATTGAAATAGTGGATTTACCCATTAATAGCATGGTGATTTTACATAGTTTTTTACATAGCTATTGTCAATGGCCATTGAAATAGTGGATTTACCCATTAATAGCATGGTGATTTTCCAGTTCGTTACTTGTTAACGTTTACCAGAGGGTACCCTAGACAAAAACTGTGGTTGAACCAACAAACATGGTGATCTAGCATTGGTGTAAGATAGCGAAGTTGGTTTTTAAGTGACATATCGACGAGTTCGTGGGGTTAGAACCTCGTATATATATTATATGGTCAGCGGCCCCTCTGGGGCCTACATTTTCATATGTTCAGAGGTCTATTTTACTTTCAATCACTATATCCAAAGGTTAGGTAAGTACAAAAACATTGTAAAATACAAGTCGGAGCATGCCAGAGCCATCACCTATGGGTAGGTTTTTGGAGCAGCTTGTGACTGGCGCACTTAGGATCCATCAAATCTGAGTTGAAAACCATCTGGTTATTTAACATAGCCATGGAAAGATCCACCATTTTTAATAGGTAAACCATCTATTTCCATGGGCCATCTTTACCATGGCTATGTTAGTCATAACCAGAGGGTACACTTTGCAAATATCTGTTTTATCCTCAGCATTGCTGGTGCCACTGTGGAATAAGAATGAACTATCTTGTTGCACTGCAGTGTCTTTCTTATGTTGAAATGGTGAAAACATCTTTAAAACCAGTCTCTTGGTTTTGTCATCGTTGTTGCTGGCCAGCATCCGCCTTATGTTTGTTGACTCTCCTTTGGCCACTATAGATAAAACACAATTAAACACATATATGCACGCACAATATATATATATAATACCTACACACATATATATATATATATGTGTGTATGAATGCGTATCTATTGTGTCATACATGACCACGTGTTTTGCTTACACCTGTCTCATCTGGTTGGTGGCTTCAACCCTTCAACTCAACCTATCCGGACCTATGCAGATCATCGCATCAACAAACCACGGATGTTTATCAGTTTGGGCAAACGAATCTCCATTAACTAACTCCTTGATGATGGTACTTTACGCATGTTATTTACCCTCTGGTAAACAAACATAGCTATTGAACATGGCCATAGAAATAGTGGATGTTCCCATGAAAAATTGTGATTTTCCGGAGCTATGTTAGTCATTACCAGAGGGTAATGTCATTTCCCTAGCCAAACCATCTCCCCTTGAAACAAGATGTTTCTGGGCCCCAGGGGTCCCAGGAGGATGGTCCTTCAAACAGGCTCATCTGCAGGGGAAAGGTCCGACACATGCTGGACACCACCAGCCAAATATTGAGAAGTCCTTCCTTTTTGCTGGTTCTACAAGTTTTATCCTGCGTTTGGCTGGTGAACTCTCTTGATGTTGTCAGCTGGTTTAGTAAGTAGATATTCATTTTGTTGCACCACACTGAAGTCCCGAACTCCCCTGCCTGGGTTTATCCAGTTTCATTTTTACCCTCCTGGTATCAAATGTGGCTTGCTGGAAAATCCACCATTTTTTTAGGAGAATTATCCCAGCTAGAAACCTCCGTTCAAAGAGAGTGTTCCCGTATTTTCCCATGATTTCTGAGCCAGCAACGTTCGATTACCGGAGGGTACATCCATTAATATCCCGTGAGTATCCTTATTAATTAAGTTCTAGTAAACAATTCAGTTCTAGTAAACAATAAGAACACAATTTAGATAATAAAGCAGTATTATTGCCACTGGTGTCCCATGATTATCCCTATTAAACCAAGCAAAACACCATGAAAATTCGAGAATTGCCGTAGGCTAAGTCTTGTAAACTCCCGGCCAAAAGCATCCCGCGACCTCAGCATCCTCTCTGCACTCAGTCGGCAGGCCTCAAGATGTGCAAAACCAGCGTGGCGCGGAACAGCGTGGCGTCCCTGGTCGTTTTCTACTCCACATGTCCTATAAACAATGGGGAAATCATGGGAAAAATCATAAATGAACGTTTTGATGGGAAGAGCCATCTATTTTTATGGCGGATCTTCAAATTGCAGTGGTCGATTGCCGGAAAGTAAGCGGCATCCCTTCACATCCACGGGCCATCCACGCAGCCCTTCCTGCAACAAAGGAATAGCTTGGTGTGTTTGTTTCCCCGGTGTGAAAACAGGTCAAAAAGGTACATTTTTACCGAGCGAAATTGAAAAATTGGGCCCAGTTGGAACTATAAATCTTAAAAAAAAATGACTGGCTTAGCCATTCCCCAACAGTTTTCATGCAGTCACCACTACAAAAGCATGAGCAACTAAGCATCAACCAGCCACCCCATGCTCACCAACCAGCAAGGTACTCATAGAATTACCGGCCTGTTCTCTCCGAAAATCAGCAGAAAATCCTGGAATATTTCACAATAATGGCTGGGTTGAATCATCTGGATAGCCATAGCTATGGAAAATGATCCATTTACAGCAATTATAGATGATTTACAATGATTTACATTGCAAAAATGGTGGGTTTCCATACCAATGTCAAATTACCCGATGTCAAATTGCAACAGTTCACCAACTTGAAAAGGTCAGCCATTGTGGGATACCTACTCCTTCATTCCAGTGACATCGCGACGTGAGGTCGCAACATGATCTATTCAGATGTTGATCTTGATTCTCCTAGTATATCCATAGCTTATCCCATTTTATATGCATACAAATCTTTTATATATACCCTCTGGTAAACTAACATAGCTATGGGAAATCACCATTTTCAATGGGTAAATTCACTATAAATGGTCATTTTCAATAGCTATGTTAGTTTACCAGAAGGTATACATACATACATACATACATACATACATACATACATACATACCATGACATGACATGACATGACATGACATGACATGACATTACATACACACATACATTTTTATATTTATATAGAATATAAATATCTCAACATTTCCCCATATGTTGAAGGTTCCTTAGCCACTTCATGCATCATAATCGTTTCCCCCCCGGGACTTGGGACCATAAATCCCATCCCAGCGAGCCCGGGGCGAGCCCCGCCCGCCTGTGCGCAATGTCTGCAGGAAGTTTCGGGCACAAACGGCCACCTGAAACCGACGATTTCGCGATTTTCTGCGGTTTATCCATGGGGGATGTAGTTGGAATATTGGGATATTTCAAGAGCTTTCAGATAACGAAAGGTTGGGATATAAATACTAAAGGTTGCGATATAGTGGGGATATTTCAATTTATATTAAGTTTACGAACGAAAGTTTATTCATGTGTTCTTTAGGACCCCCCCCAAAACGAGACCACCCAAAAATCAGGAACATTTAGTGGCATTTAGTGACATTTAAGGGGTTGAAAATTTAGTGGCATTTAGTGGCATTTAGTGACAATTTACTGAAATTTAGTGAAACGTAGTGAAAAATAGTGAAAGTTAATGAAAATGAGTGAACGAATAATGACACGTAGTGAAATTTAGTGAAAAATAGTGAAAATTAGTGAAAAATAGTTGAAAATAGTGAATTTTAGTGAAACATAGTGAATAAGACATGTGCATCAAAAATAATGAAAAATAGTGAACGACAATACTGGCAAATAATGAAAAATAGTGAAAAATAAGGACAAATTAGTGAAAAAGAAGAGCAATTCATCTTTCTTATAATTCTCAAGATTGTGGAAATTTGCATGGGCTGGTTTTGCTCGGGCTCTAAAATCATACATGATTTATGTCTAACTATCTGTAGTTTGTTTATTTTTGTAAACTATAGTTGATGAACTTAAGTTTGCTAACGAAACGAAGCTGCAAAAAGTTCAAGACCTGTTATTTGTTTTTCCGACATCTTGGTCCATGTAAAAACGTTATCCATTTTACCGATTTCAAGCATCAAAACATATGGTTTAATCAATGCATGACGGATATCGTGGGGATAATAGATCAAGCATTTTATGGGGATATAGGAATACTTGGGAAGGATTGCCAGAAACAGCACCGTCACCGATCTTGGTTGTGTCGCTTAGATATTGAAAAACCAGCATTTGTAGATCATTTTCCTCATCGTTTTTCTAGTTCACCAGGAGGGTTGAATCATACTATTAGATCATATATCCATATACCCATATATATATAGATAGATATGAGTTTAATGTTTTATATCCCCACTATATCCATTGTTCACGGGTTAAGGTTAAGGTCTTTATTTCCACTCTTTTACTGAAGGTAAATCCCAAAGTCCCACTGTTGCACCGGTCAGCACAGTTACTTCACCTGAATGACTTCGTTGGACCACAAGAAGTCCAGCCACCTCGGTAGAACCCCCCCAAAGCTGAGCTGCTGTCGTCCTGTTTCAGTTCCCTACACATATTTTCCGGCAATTGAACATTGATTTAATGGGTGTCAATGTGATGTATGTTTTTTTCCTGTATGGTTAGCCTCTTGCAATTTAGCAGTTTGCAATGGAAAATGGAAGAGCATGGCCCATTTATAGAACTTTTATCTATTACTGTAACATTAATATTGTGATGTTTCATAGCTATGTCAAATCTAAATGGTAGTTCATAAATGGACATAACTGGACTAGATTTGGTCCAGATTTAGTTCATAAAGGGACTAATTTTGTCTAGTTAGTTGACAAAAATGGACTTTTATCAGATAATTCTTCATACAGTTATGGCCATTAACAGTTGCAAATGGAAATATAATTCCTAAAACTATTGGTTATTATATATATATAAATATCATAAACCCCATCAAAAGTAATTGTTACCCTCTGGTAAATTAACATAGACCCTGGCAGATAGGGGTTGGAAGATTAGTTGCCATTAAAAAAATTGTGATTTTCAGGGTCTATGTTTATTTACCAGAGGGTAGTGGGGCCATGTACTGTAGATTCTCAGAAAACTATTCCAACAATATGTTTTTTCCGTTCGGTTGGGGATGATCCCCCCAATCCTAGCGGTGAGGTCATCATTTGGGGTCGCGTGAGGTTGGTCGTGTTTTACCAGATACGACTGGGATAATTAATTATAAATGATCATAATATCAATGGCATATAATCAGTGCCAATCTTAGATACCCTGCGGAAAAAAAAACAAATCTTAGCTGGTGAGTAGATAATCCCATTGATATCAAAAGACTACAGGATTACCTACAGGATTAAAGTACCCATCTAAGATTGACCTAGTAATTACCCCCAAATGATCAAATGATTACAATATACAGTTACTTAAACCGAATTGAAGCTGGTACAATCCTGGAATGATGGTAAGGGTATCGTTGATAAAATCCTTTCCGGGTTTGCTGTGTCATACTAGGTTTACCAACAACTATAGATATTAACCATGGTTCAGTGGGGCATCAACTACTGTAATAGGCTAAAATATCGGAAACAAGCCATTGAAGTTCGTTTGTTCGAACTCAATTTACTTGGAGAGTCATCCAATAACATCCAAGAACCATGCTTCAAAGGTCTCTGAGTCTGAGCTGGGATATCAGGTTTACAACACCACCTACAAGGCAGCTACTACTTGATGTGATCTAATTGGGAGGCACAGTTACCAGTGGGCTCATCAACAGACTACTGCCAAGTAAATGACATTGAAATACGGGATATCCAAAGCTGCCATTTTAATCTCTTTTTCAACGGAACAATGATGCTGGGTAAAGAAAATCCAGAAAATCCAAATCTGTTCCGTGGCTTTAGCAAATGTTCCCCAAATGCGGGCTAAGAATGAGAAATGCATGAAACCCTCCTCGATGGGCCCACGTTCTCTTTGGCACCCTGTTTCGTAGCAAAAAGAATGCCCTGCAAAAAAGGATCTACCTTATGGTTTGGAACATTATGGTGTACTACATTTTCTGGCAAATATGCAGGTTAAAAACAAGAATGTACCGATATCTCTTTTCTCTTTGTTGGTGACGTCAACCCCTCTGCAAACATATGTAGATCATCTTCCTTAGCTTTCACCCAAGGATTTTCATAGTGTTTTCCTCATTCACCAGGAGGGTTAAGTCATACTATTGGATCATATAGCTCCATTCTATTGTTTTATATGCCAATTATATATATATCCATTGTTCACTGGAAAGTACCCCAATTGTTGATGCTTAAACCTCAATATTTGACCGTTTGAAAGTACCCCAAGCCTTCACCAAGAGACCATGGAGAAGTCGTGGCAGGCGCCATGGCGCCCGTGTCATGTTGGATGGATCAGAAAAACCCTCCCTTGGCATCTCCAAGCCTTGTGGGTTAACCAGCAAGGCTTTCACCCCATGGCTTATAGTAACTAGTAACCCTCCCCCCACTATTGAACAGCCCTCAGAAACCATGCTTCAATAGAGGATTGACATATATTTGGGACCATAAAGAGGATGTTAAATATTGCAGGGGATGGGATTAGAATGAGTGTAAACTACCTTGACGATCTAGGAGGCCCCAACTTGTAGCATTCACACTTGTGCAGTCCGTTGTTAACAATGAACCCTCTAATAACCTGTCAAGTGCCGACCTCGCCAACTTCAGCCAAACTTCAGAAAAATCCCTTGCGGAGAGTCAGCATGAATCAACCTTCAAAAATTCCCAACCCGCCAATTTATACTGGCTGATGGGATTTCCAATCATTCTGTGTAAATGATAATAATTCACTAACCTGAAATAAGGTAATTTTGGGATGATTCCTCTTACTAACCATGATTCCAGTGAGGTCGCACTGAGGTCGTTATAATTTACCCAGAATCATTGAACTGTGATAATCTCCAATATATTAGGTAGTATAACCACAGTAGTAACCGACAGGGGTTTTAAAGATGTGAAATGATGAGAAACTCCTCATGTTGGACCACCAAATTCCGGGCTTCATACTTTGATCCATTGCCAGCAGGTGAAATGGGACAGCAATGGAGTCCTCGATTCCCTAATATCAATTGAGATTATAGAAGGCTCTGGAGATATTTCCTGCAGTCCAAACCTTTTGTGACTTGAATCCACATGGTTCGGCTTTCCTGCAGAGACCCCTAAAACTTCTGCAATGATAGACTCCTACCAATCGCAGCCATATACCTCTCACAAAACTGGAGCCACAACTATGAGCTGCTTTTGTGTCATAACCCCAGTCAATTACAGCTCTGACCACTGCCAAACTTTGACACCTTGCCAACCATTTTTGACCGGTTAGTTTAATATATCACCAATTGAAGCAATACGCAATAATAAAGAAACAGCGGTTTTCTGCGTACTCATAAACCCTGCCAACTAATCCGCCGACCCCGGCAGACGCAAGGGGGAGCGCGCCAGGGAATAATACTTTTCACTCTTGTTTCGGACTACTACTACTACTACGACTACTACTACTACTACTACGACGACGACGACGACTACTACTACTACTACTACTACTACTATTTAAAGGTAGCCAAACTTCATATTCATAGCAGCAGCAAGAGGAAAAAGCCGCCAAAATCATCATTTTCTATGGGTGTCAGAAGTCACGTTAGGCATTTTCGGGGTGCAATTTTGGAGCTTCTCCGTCCTTCAGAGGCATGGTGTTTCGCCCCCGGGAGGTGATTTTTTCCATTGTCTTTTCGTATTTGGGGACCGGATGTAAAGGTAGCTAAAATTCATGGCAGCAGCAAGAAGAAAAAGGAGCCAAAAGCATCATTTTCTATGGGTTTCAGAAGTCACGTTAGGCATTTTCGGGGTGCAATTTTGGAGCTTCTCCGTCCTTCAGAGGCATGGTGTTTTGCCCCCGGGTGTTTTTCCTCCCGGGAGGTGATTTTTTCCATGGTGTTTTCCTATTTGGGGACCGGATGTTTAGGTAGCTACTGTTCATGGCAGCAGCAAGAGGAAAAAGGAGCCAAAAGCATCATTTTCTATGGGTTTCAGAAGCCACGTTAGGTATTTTCGGGGTGCAATTTTGGGGCTTCTCCGTCCTTCAGAGGCATGGTGTTTCGCCTTCGGGAGGTGATTTTTTCCATGGTGGTTTCCTATTTGGGGACCGGATGTTTAGGTAGCTAAAATTCATGGCAGCAGCAAGAGGAAAAAGGAGCCAAAAGCATCATTTTCTATGGGTTTCAGAAGTCACGTTAGGCATTTTCGGGGTGCAATTTTGGAGCTTCTCCGTCCTTCAGAGGCATGGTGTTTCGCCCCCGGGAGGTGATTTTTTCCATGGTCTTTTCCTATTTGGGGACCGGATGTAAAGGTAGCTAAAATTCATGCCAAACAACAGCTGCAGGAGGTAGAAAAGAGAAACTTGTCTAGGAATTGAGAAGGGTCGTGAGGGAATTTTTGCGGGTAAGTTTAAGCCAGCACTATGGCGAAGAGCCGTTCTGGAGGCCTGATGTGCTTGCAGCTTGGAGCCACCAAACAACAGCTGCAGGAGGCAGAAAAAAGAGACATTTTTTCTAGGAATCTAGGAATTTTCTATTCTAGGAATCTATAGGAATCTAGGAATTTTCTAGGAATTCAGAAGGGACGTTAGGGAGTTTTTCTGGATAAGTTTGAACACGGTTTCGGCACGCAATTAGGTGCTGTTTTGCTGTGGCGAGGGGTCCGTTCTGGAAGCCTGATGCTTGCAGCTTGGAGCCACCAAACGTGAATCAGTTGGAGCACGGTTTCGGCACGCAATTAGGTGCTGTTTTGCTGTGGCGGAGGGTCCGTTCTAGAGGCTTCATGCTTGCAGCTTGGAGCCACCAAACAACAACTGCAGGAGGCAGACAAAGGACATTTTTTCTTGGAATTCAGAAGGGACGTTGGGGAGTTTTTGTGGATAAGCTTGCACAACGTTTCGGCACGCAATTAGGTGCTGTTTTGCTGTGGCGAAGGGTCCGTTCTGGAGGCCTGATGCTTGCAGCTTGGAGCCACCAAACAACAGCTGCAGGAGGTAGAAAAGAGAAACTTGTCTAGGAATTGAGACGGGTCGTGAGGGAGTTTTTGCGGGTAAGTTTAAGCCAGCACTATGGCGAAGAGTCCGTTCTGGAGGCCTGATGTGCTTGCAGCTTGGAGCCACCAAACAACAGCTGCAGGAGGCAGAAAAAAGAGACATTTTTTTTTTCTAGGAATTCTAAGAATTTTCTAGGAATTCTAGGAATCTAGGATAGGAATTTTCTAGGAATTCAGAAGGGACGTTAGGGAGTTGTACTGGATAAGTTTGAACACGGTTTCGGCACGCAATTAGGTGCTGTTTTGCTGTGGCGAGGGGTCCGGTCTGGAAGCCTGATGCTTGCAGCTTGGAGCCACCAAACAACAGCTGCAGGAGGTAGAAAAGAGAAACTTGTCTAGGAATTGAGACGGGTCGTGAAGGAGTTTTTGCGGGTAAGTTTAAGCCAGCACTATGGCGAAGAGTCCGTTCTGGAGGCCTGATGTGCTTGCAGCTTGGAGCCACCAAACAACAGCTGCAGGAGGCAGAAAAAAGAGACACATTTTTTCTAGGAATTCAGAAGGGACGTTAGGGAGTTTTTCTGGATAAGTTTGAACACGGTTTCGGCACGCAATTAGGTGCTGTTTTGCTGTGGCGAGGGGTCCGTTCTGGAAGCCTGATGCTTGCAGCTTGGAGCCACCAAACAACAGCTGCAGGAGGTAGAAAGGAGAAACTTGTCTGGGAATTGAGAAGGGTCGTGAGGGAATTTTTGCGGGTAAGTTTAAGCCAGCACTATGGCGAAGAGCCGTTCTGGAGGCCTGATGTGCTTGCAGCTTGGAGCCACCAAACAACAGCTGCAGGAGGCAGAAAAAAGAGACATTTTTTCTAGGAATCTAGAATTTTCTAGGAATTCAGAAGGGACGTTAGGGAGTTTTTCTGGATAAGTTTGAACACGGTTTCGGCACGCAATTAGGTGCTGTTTTGCTGTGGCGAGGGGTCCGTTCTGGAAGCCTGATGCTTGCAGCTTGGAGCCACCAAACGTGAATCAGTTTGAGCACGGTTTCGGCACGCAATTAGGTGCTGTTTTGCTGTGGCGGAGGGTCCGTTCTAGAGGCTTCATGCTTGCAGCTTGGAGCCACCAAACAACAACTGCAGGAGGCAGACAAAAGACATTTTTTCTTGGAATTCAGAAGGGACGTTGGGGAGTTTTTGTGGATAAGCTTGCACAACGTTTCGGCATGCAATTAGGTGCTGTTTTGCTGTGGCGAAGGGTCCGTTCTGGAGGCCTGATGCTTGCAGCTTGGAGCGACCAAACAACAGCTGCAGGAGGTAGAAAAGAGAAACTTGTCTAGGAATTGAGACGGGTCGTGAGGGAGTTTTTGCGGGTAAGTTTAAGCAACCAAAATGGCGAAGAGTCCGTTCTGGAGGCCTGATGTGCTTGCAGCTTGGGGCCACCAAACAACAGCTGCAGGAGGCAGAAAAAGAGATATTTTTTCTAGGAATTCTAGGAATTTTCTAGGAATTCTAGGAATCTAGGAATTTTCTAGGAATTCAGAAGGGACGTTAGGGAGTTTTTCTGGATAAGTCTGAACACGGTTTCGGCACGCAATTAGGTGCTGTTTTGCTGTGGCGAGGGGTCCGTTCTGGAAGCCTGATGCTTGCAGCTTGGAGCCACCAAACAACAGCTGCAGGAGGTAGAAAAGAGAAACTTGTCTAGGAATTGAGAAGGGTCGTGAGGGAATTTTTGCGGGTAAGTTTAAGCCAGCACTATGGCGAAGAGTCGTTCTGGAGGCCTGATGTGCTTGCAGCTTGGAGCCACCAAACAACAGCTGCAGGAGGCAGAAAAAAGAGACATTTTTTCTAGGAATCTATCTAGGAATCTAGGAATTTTCTAGGAATTCAGAAGAGACGTTAGGGAGTTGTTCTAGATAAGTTTGAACACGGTTTCGGCTCGGAAGGAAGAGCAGGAGGTAGAAAAGAGAAACTTGTCTAGGAATTGAGAAGGGTCGTGAGGGAGTTTTTGCGGGTAAGTTTAAGCCAGCACTATGGCGAAGAGTTCGTTCTGGAGGCCTGATGTGCTTGCAGCTTGGAGCCACCAAACAACAGCTGCAGGAGGCAGAAAAAAGAGACACATTGTTTCTAGGAATTCAGAAGGGACGTTAGGGAGTTTTTCTGGATAAGTTTGAACACGGTTTCGGCACGCAATTAGGTGCTGTTTTGCTGTGGCGAGGGGTCCGTTCTGGAAGCCTGATGCTTGCAGCTTGGAGCCACCAAACAACAGCTGCAGGAGGTAGAAAAGAGAAACTTGTCTAGGAATTGAGAAGGGTCGTGAGGGAATTTTTGCGGGTAAGTTTAAGCCAGCACTATGGCGAAGAGCCGTTCTGGAGGCCTGATGTGCTTACAGCTTGGAGCCTACCAAACAACAGCTGCAGGAGGCAGAAAAAAGAGACATTTTTTCTAGGAATCTAGGAATTTTCTAGGAATTCAGAAGGGACGTTAGGGAGTTTTTCTGGATAAGTTTGAACACGGTTTCGGCACGCAATTAGGTGCTGTTTTGCTGTGGCGAGGGGTCCGTTCTGGAAGCCTGATGCTTGCAGCTTGGAGCCACCAAACGTGAATCAGTTTCAGCACGGTTTCGGCACGCAATTAGGTGCTGTTTTGCTGTGGCGGAGGGTCCGTTCTAGAGGCTTCATGATTGCAGCTTGGAGCCACCAAACAACAACTGCAGGAGGCAGACAAAAGACATTTTTTCTTGGAATTCAGAAAGGACGTTGGGGAGTTTCTGTGGATAAGCTTGCACAACGTTTCGGCACGCAATTAGGTGCTGTTTTGCTGTGGCGAAGGGTCCGTTCTGGAGGCCTGATGCTTGCAGCTTGGAGCCAGCAAACAACAGCTGCAGGAGGTAGAAAAGAGAAACTTGTCTAGGAATTGAGACGGGTCGTGAGGGAGTTTTTGCGGGTAAGTTTAAGCCAGCACTATGGCGAAGAGTCCGTTCTGGAGGCCTGATGTGCTTGCAGCTTGGAGCCACCAAACAACAGCTGCAGGAGGCAGAAAAAAGAGACATTTTTTCTAGGAATTCTAGGAATCTAGGATAGGAATTTTCTAGGAATTCAGAAGGGACGTTAGGGAGTTTTTCTGGATAAGTATGAACACGGTTTCGGCACGCAAGTAGGTGCTGTTTTGCTGTGGCGAGGGGTCCGTTCTGGAAGCCTGATGCTTGCAGCTTGGAGCCACCAAACAACAGCTGCAGGAGGTAGAAAGGAGAAACTTGTCTAGGAATTGAGAAGGGTCGTGAGGGAATTTTTGCGGGTAAGTTGAAGCCAGCACTATGGCGAAGAGCCGTTCTGGAGGCCTGATGTGCTTGCAGCTTGGAGCCACCAAACAACAGCTGCAGGAGGCAGAAAAAAGAGACATTTTTTCTAGGAATCTAGGAATCTAGGAATTTTCTAGGAATTCAGAAGGGACGTGAGGGAGTTTTTCTGGATAAGTTTGAACACGGTTTCGGCACGCAAGTAGGTGCTGTTTTGCTGTGGCGAGGGGTCCGTTCTGGAAGCCTGATGCTTGCAGCTTGGAGCCACCAAACGTGAATCAGTTTGAGCACGGTTTCGGCACGCAATTAGGTGCTGTTTTGCTTGCTTGCAGCTTGGAGCCACCAAACAACAGCTGCAGGAGGTAGAAAAGAGAAACTTGTCTAGGAATTGAGACGGGTCGTGAGGGAGTTTTTGCGGGTAAGTTTAAGCCAGCACTATGGCGAAGAGTCCGGTCTGGAGGCCTGATGTGCTTGCAGCTTGGAGCCACCAAACAACAGCTGCAGGAGGCAGAAAAAAGAGACATTTTTTCTAGGAATCTAGGAATTTTCTAGGATAGGAATTTTCTAGGAATTCAGAAGGGACGTTAGGGAGTTTTTCTGGATAAGTATGAACACGGTTTCGGCACGCAATTAGGTGCTGTTTTGCTGTGGCGAGGGGTCCGTTCTGGAAGCCTGATGCTTGCAGCTTGGAGCTACCAAACAACAGCTGCAGGAGGTAGAAAGGAGAAACTTGTCTAGGAATTGAGAAGGGTCGTAAGTCAGACAGAATCCTACAGTATGCTGCTGATTTAGAGATTCAAACCACTTGGGCAATTCAACGCAGGCAACTGTCCTGTTTCCGGGGTCGGCGGCAGGGGCGGCAGCCCTTAAATATTAACATTAATTAACATAAACCCTGCCAAATAGGGGATGGACTGACATGGATGGACAATTACTTTCCTCTAGACCCTGGGACTTTACCCTTGTCAGACTGTTCATGGGGGGATGGTATGCCGTTCCTAGATCCTGGGGTCCTATTAATAGTTTAAGTATGCCGCAAAGATATGCAAAGATCAGACCTTCCGAAGCATTCATATCATTCATCCACAACACAACGCAGCCCCTTCGCCGTTCAGAGTTTTATCCACCCCTCCGCATCACCATGAAGACTTCTCGTCGATGCAGCTGCATGATTTGCACCTGGTGACGCAGCGGTAAGACGAAGTCACTGGCTATATCCAACGGTGGGCCCCGGCCACGTATCAATGGGCCCGGGCACGTACTATGAATCAGAAATAGGGCTAAATAGTCAACTCAAAGTTCAAAGTTTAAGAACCGTTTTTTGTTTTTCAGAAATGGTTACAGCTGGACAATCATCGGTCAATGAGATAGATTAATTAATGCAAATGCCTCTTCTCTTGGTGATCAATGCATTTGGTGGACAAATCAGCCGGAAAGCATAGCATGTTTCCATATGTTTCCTGCAAATGACAGGGTTTCTACCAGTTCTGGGACAAAGAACTCCAGACACATTCCCACGCCAAGCAAAGGATCAACAGATCTTTCCAGAGCCATCTTGAGAGGGGTGATTTGCTTGTGACATGAGCTGAGTGGTATACTTTGATTGTTTTTATATCATCAGGTAATTTAAAATAGCCATGGAAAATCAACATGTTTAATAGGTAAACCATCTATTTCTATGGGCCATTTTCCATAGCTATGTTAGTTTTACCAGAGGGTATACTTTGATTGTTTTTATAACCATAAAACAGTCCGCTAATTTACCGTTCACGGTCCGGCTTGACCCAGAGGATGCACCAAAATTGGAAACACCTTGCGGTCTACAACTGCTAAGATGTGATGAGCACAAAAAGAATGGTGACATCACCAGGAGGCCCTCTGCAATGCAACACATGAAACATATAGGTCAAAATGGAGTACCAGAAGGGAACGTTACCAACAAATAAACCAGAAACAACCTGTAACCTGAGTTCATGCGGCATGCGGCATTTCTTCACAGTGGACTTCGGCATGTGACTTCGGCATGGCTGGATCATGCTGGATCTGCAAGGGGGTCGCAGCAGTGGGCGTCAAAAGCGTCAAGTCTGATTTGAAGAGTGGATCCTGTCTAGTGGTCGCAAACCGAGACCAAAACAAGCAAAACATTTGCGCATATACAATATATAATATAAACATATGTCCACACATAGATAAAATTATATATACACATATATATATCATAAATAAATATTATACATACAAGTATATATATATATATATATGTATATGCGAGTGAGTGTCTTCAGGCCAACATAAATGAATACGTTTGACATCCAGTGCTGCTGTTCAATTACAGCCTCCATTTGCTGAATTTGCCTTGACATGACACCTTGGTTGGCATGAGTCATGCATCATCCCAAGTCACCAAACCCTTGAAGTAACATGTCCAGCAGTCCAGCAGTGCTGTTCTGCGTTCCGTTCAGTTCCCACAGTTCATCTGGGCCTGCCAACAAATACAACATATTGATTTAAGGCTAAAGAACCAACCGGTTAACAACCAACCAAGGTCTACCCAGCAACCCCCCAACAAAAAATGACCAACAATAGTGGCACATATTGGCACCAATCTCCAAAAGAAACACTTGCAAGTCACTGTCCGGTGCTTGAAATTCGGACCAACCTACCATATCAGGACAGGTCAAAAGATATACATTGACCATTGCTGGGCAAAGGTTGGTTGTGTGCTCATTAATTTCCGCAGAATTCGACAAACCTTCAATCAGGGCCCAAGCAAGGGCTCTCACTGCGGATCCAAAATTCAAACCATTGCCGTAACATGCCGTAACCATTGCTGGGTCATCACGGATTTGCACAGGAACCCCCAAGGATACTGTATGTTCCCTATAGATTCCCTTTAAATGGTGGATTTCTCATCGGTGACAAATCAACCAAATAAAACATAGTGCTAGGGGTGAGCTGCCTTGAAACCAACCAGTAAAGGGTCATTGGGAATCATCATAGCAGGAAAACCCAAAATTTCGTACCATGAGGCAGACTGTGGGAGACATTGCCCAACAAAAAAAAGTTTATATAATGATGTTTAGTTGACTAGGTCAATCTATATAGAATATAGTCCCATTTGTTGCACAAAATACATGTACTAGAGTAAACATCCCCAGTTAGTTAAATCCCAACCCATCAACTTGGCTGAACCAGAAACATCTCACCGGACTCTACCAAACATAACTTTCAAATGCCTATTACCACCTCAATGCTCAGCAAATGTCCAGGCCATTTTGCGGGTCCTGCGCAGCGGTTTTGCTGTACAACTACAGGTTTCCTGATATTTCCTCTGCAGGCATCAACCAAGTTTCGAGGTACAATACATACTTTCCCGATCACCAAGGAGTATCAAGAAGTCATGTTTCAACCCAAACATGGTGAAATTTAATCTCTGGCAAGGTAAGCAAACAAGACTGAAATCAGTAAAGATAAAAAGAGAACAACTAAGTTTCACCAACGAAAAATGCGGTGTAGTGCCCCAAAATGAGGAATTATGAGGAGCCCTCCGGCTTTCAAGCCGGCTCTGCTGTGCCAACCATCCGCACAGTTTCCCCTTCGTAGAGACGTGACTTCCAGCTGTGCGTTGTATGCGGCGTCGTCGACAGGGGACGCCCAAAATTGGACGGTCCTAGGGCAGCGGCAACGGTGATGGTGCCACCTTCCTGGTCCTTTCATTGTTTTGGAGGCTGGCCATTGTAAATCCAATGCAAAGCCATGATAAATCCAAAAAACTCGTTGTTAGATGGTATGGCATGGTATAGCATAGTATAACCATTATCTAAGGAATTTTAGCTGGTATCTAAACTTGGCAACCATTGGTTGCCTGAATGTAAATTGTTTTTTTTGTTTATTTTGGTCCCCATTTTGGGAACCCATACACAAAAAAAAACAGCAAGCTGTGACACTGTAGCAACCTGCAAACCGTCCCCCTGCACCCTCCGCCTGCTGCACTTCTTCTCAAGGCCAGTTTGGGAAGAAACAGAAGCGTCTGCCAGCGCACGCTGCAGTTCTGCTAGCCCTCTGTCCATAAGAGAACTGACAACAACAGCGAACAAACAGGACCTTGAGCATGTATGAGCATGTGTTATTTGGTGTTGGTCTCACATCATTCTAGTAAACCACCAGAAAAAAATCAGAAAAAAACAGTTCAATTAACCACCCTTTTAGTACAGGATTTAGCTTATTATTATATTTCAAGTTTTTTCTGTGTTTTTGGGGGGAGTTGCGAGAAACCAGTGGCATTTCACCTACACAAACCCTTCACCCGTCGTTGTGAAACGGCACACCTGGGTCGTGGAGGATGAGCCATCTGCGGCTCTTCTTCATCCGAATCCAAGCTCATTCCCAGCCTCAAAAAACACAGGGCAGCACAGGAGGGGATACATAGCGAACTGAATGGATATATATATATATATATAATATATATTATATACATATGTATATATGTATATATAATATATATATATACATATTATAGCATATATCACTTAAGTTAAATGTATGACTTGAATGTATGATATACAGACACCTCTTTGGCAAGGCTCATTCCACGAGGACTCTCTTAAATTATCTTGCCTTAAAAAAGGCTAAGACGATCTAAGAACCAACCCATGAAGTGCACTTGACCCAGACATAGCCTCCAAAAAATGATGATCATCAGGTACGAGGTGGTGTCCCGTACTTTGCGAGGTTGGTTTATCTCTCTCTTAGTCTTTACTGTACTGTGGATGGAAGAAATCCTGCACCAATTGGTAGATGGTTTGAGTTTATAAACCTACAACTGGTGGGGCCCACCTTGCATGGATGGATTTGTAGATATTTGTAGCACTCAGAATATGTGCAGTTCAACAGTTCCGATACTTTTGGGTTTTACCTTCGCGCTTCCCGGAAAAATCCTGATAAGCCGGAGGGCAAAAACTTCGAAAGAGGGATACGATGTGGTTTCATCTACCCTCTGGTAAACGTTTACATAACTACGGAAAATCACCATTATTAATGGTAAATCAACTATTTCTATGGCCATGTTCAATAGGAAACTAGGAAACTGTAAACGTTTACCAGAGGGTAGTTGTTTTAAGGCCAAGGTATATGAGGTTGCACCCTCTGGCAATTTAACATAGCTATTGAAAATGGCAATTTATAGTTGATTTACCCATTAAACATGTTGATTTTCCATAGTTATGTTGGTTTACCAAGAGGGTAACACATCCAACCGCAACCCATGGCCGGCAAAGTTGAGATGGATGCGCCACGGCAACCCCCCAAAACAAATGGCAATCCTGTTGAGATCCCAAACTTGGCAACCGGCGAAGTTCAGTACCCTCTGGTAAACGTTAACAAAAAAAACTATGGAAAATCACAATGTATATTAATTTAGCTAACTCAACTATTTCAATGGCAATTTTCAATAGCAAACTGTTGAATTAGCAGAGGTTAGTTCATAAATAGTATATACAGTATATATATATATCCAGTAATTACCAATAGAAATCCAGATCTTCAACGTGCATATCCCAATATCCCAACATGCACCTCTGAGGCAACACTTTGGGGCGTCCTGGAAGTTGCTCCTTGGGTCGACTTGCCCATCATGTGGCATCAAACATGGCTAGCTGGGACATTCCCCATTAAAGAGGGGCATTGAGATGGAAAAGTCATATATAAGTGGGAAAGGTGCATTGCGATGCTTGATGGATTGCCAAAGAGTAACAGAAATGTTGAAGAGATTTGGCCTAGTTCAACCTGGTTGTGACTTTTTTCAGCGGAGATGTGGTGCTTGATCATCCTTTCATAAAGAAAAGTGAACACGTACAGGTATGGCCGAACATGATTGAGCCAAGGTGCCCTAAAAAAAAAGTTTTCGGGCGGGGTAACTTCAATTGGTCCAATTTGCAGTCATTACATTCCTTTGTAGTCTTATGGCTCAAAACATGCCCATTAGACTACCAAACTACACTTCCTGGTAAACGTTTACAAAAAACTATGGAAAAACACAGTTTTCAATGGGTAAATCCACTATTTCAATGGCCATTTTCCAGTTCGCAAACTGTAAACGTTTACCAGAGGGTAAGGCGTAGGGGATCCCACTTGGTGGTGATTCACGTCGATATTCCATCGCAGTGCCAATCTTAGATACCCTGCAAAAAGTAATTTCGTTGTTGGTGAGTAGATAATCTCATTGATATCAAAAGACTAAAGGGTTAGTTTCTACCCATCTAAGATTGACCTAGATCATATCCCCTTTATAATCCAGATTAACTGAAAACCGGGATTAATTGAATTTATAACTGGCTTTTTCCTTGGGTATTAACATGTACCCTCTGGCAATTTAACATAGCTATTGAAAATGGCCATAGAAATAGTGGATTGTCCCATTAAAAAAAGTGATTTTCTATAGTTTTTTGTTAACGTTTACCAGAGGGTATTGACCATTTACATTTTACCGTGGTCGCATTCCCAAGACATTCAAGACATCCAAGACACCGAAATTTCGGCAAAGAGCGCCGAGACATTTTCACCTCACCAGCGGAAGATCCAAGTGGCATGAGCGCTGCAAAAACTAGGACTAATAGTGCATAGAATCAATTAAAAAACGCAGGAATTGAATCGATAGACAATAGATAAACAATTGATAAAACAAAAGATAAACAACAGATAGAACAAATGAACCATAGATATTTATCTGTTTATCTTCAAATAATCCATCAATTCAATAGATACGCAAATTTAAAAACAAAACATTCACATGTGCACATCTGTTCTGTGATACCAACTGGACAAACCATGTGGAGAGAAAAACTCATCAAAATCTACCACCAAGTTGGATTTCAGCTGGCCAAAATGGAGCAAAAATGAGGTTCAAAAGACGAACTAGCGTTACCTACCACATAAGTCCATATATGTTATCAACATTTAGCCGGAAGTACATGGAAGCCCCCTGAGTTTGTTGGTGTTGGTTGGAATCAATTCTCCGGTTGTGCTAAATCATGTGTTTGTTGGCTGAAAATCCATGATTGCCAATGGTTATACATACCTCTTTAAAGAAGGAAATGGATCCCCCCCTTAAAAAGTCTGGGAGGGGACCTTCTAACAAGGTGAATAGGGTATTTCATGGTTGGTTTTTGGGCTGCAATGTGTCACGACATACTTTCCCATTACAGGCTCCTGGTTGGTCGCATACCCCATTGATGTGGGTTAAAATTTGGATCCCATTTTTTTGTTTTCGAAACACTCGCCGTTTTAGTACTTTTTTCATATATATAAGTTGTAAATCTAACTTTTTGTTGGCAAATCATTCACTCGTTGATGCAACTGTTTGTCACAAATCAGGATAGTCCTCCGAATCCTCACCTCAGGCACAAAATCCTGTGATCGATCCAGAAAAAACCACGTAACCACAGCTCGTCACCAGAGCAAAACATGAAACAAACACTGTGGAGAACCCCGGGGTTTTCAACCATACCCGGCCTGGTAAACGTTTACAAAAAACGAACTGGAAAATCACCATGCTATGTAGCTGGGTAAATCAACTATTTCGACTGGGCCATTTTCAATAGCAAACTGTAAACGTTTACCAGAGGGTAATATAATGGGTAAATCAATTTTTTAATGGGTAAATCAATTTTTTAATGGGTAAATCAACCATTTAATGGATTACCACGGGGGAAAAGCTTTTCAACCATAACTTTGTGGGCAAATCATTCTACTTAAACCTGAAAGGCTCGTCATGGCCGATTCAAAACAAACGGGATGGCAACACGATTTGCCCCGGCCAAGAACCGTTCTTGATTACAACCATTCGTTTTTGCAGTTTTAATTGCCATATTTTAAAAAGGTGAACCCCCACCGTTGGTTTATAACCTCCATAGTGAAATTGGAGTTATGTGGCCCCCAAGGATTTCTAGTTGGTGGTGCAATAACCATCTTGAAAAATGATGGAGTTCGTCAATGGGTTTCGGATGACATCCCAGCCATATGAAATGGAAAATACAATTCATGTTTGAAACCACCAACCAGTTATGGTTCTTGTAGAACCCCATCGGTTAATACCCTCTGGTGAACTAACATAGCAATGGAAAATTGCTATTTATAGTGGATTTTCCCATTAAAAATGGTGATTTTCCATTGCTATGTTAGTTCACCAGAGGATAACCAGTCATAAGTCACCATTTAATATTGGCATTTCGGGCCTTACCAGGTAAACCTGTCTCGCCTGTCTTTGCGCTGGTCTCGGCGAAGATCATCTTCCTTTCCTGCCGTCACCGGAAACAGTGGCTTTTCCGCCTCAAATACAAGGAACATCCTGTCAAATTGTCCCCTTAAGCCTTAAACATCCTTAAACTAATCCAATAATTGGTTTAAGATTTGACAACAATCTTTTCTGACATTTTAAGTTTCTCCGTTAGTTGGATTTGAACGTTATTGGCTCATCCAATGGTTTAGCCAGTGACGATGCCTTGGAAGCTCAACATGGCATTTACCGAATCCCAAGTTTAATTGGTAAATCATCTGCCCATGAAAAACGGACATTTTCCATTGCCGTTTCATAGGCAATGGCTACGTGGCAACCTGCTGGAGTGTTGATCCCTGACCACGAGGAGTCTTTGGTAGAATACGTATTGTTAAGTCATGCAATAAAAAAAAACATGACTAAGTCTAAGCATCACCGAAACCACAATAACATACCTTTATGTGCATCCCAGTGGGTAACTATAAACAGCCCATGGCAAAAAAAAACAAAAGGGGTAGCTACGGCTACGACCATATGCTCCATGCATGATATACTTGCCTACACTTGAGTCACTTTGAAGACATCTGGATAAATATTCAATACATGTATGATCTAGGGCAAGAATGGAGATACACTAAAGTAAAAGTAGATGGCTCAACTCAAAAACCAAAATACCCATAAGATGGCACCGCGCGCTGAGAAAGAAAACGGCGCTATTTTAGCTGGAACATAAAACGAGGTCCGCCAATTGAAGAAAAAATCGCCCTACTTTAAAATGAACAGGTAGATGGCGCAACTGCCACTCCAGTAGATGGATATAAGGGTATTGTTAACTAAATTTACTACATTTCCTATCATTTTTGTTTGTATATACGGTGAAATTGCACGAATTTGTATTGTATAAAATGAGTTTGCATAGATGGCGCAACTCCCACTCATTCGCCAAAATCAGGCTGCAAATGCCCACATAGATGGCGCAACTCCCTCATATCTCCCGACATCCATCAACCAACCCAACCAAAATATGCCACATCGATCAGAGTTATCCCAAGACAGAAGGCAAAACCACCAGGAAAGACATCAGAGTTGTCCCCAGACAGGAGGCAAAACCACCAGGAAAGACATCAGAGTTGTCCGTTTTTGGGACATAGATGGCGCAACTTCCGTCATTTTGCCAGCAAAGGTCGAGACGCTTTAAAACCAAATTTTAACAGGTGACCTGAGGAACCGTTTCTTGACGGCAAAAACGGTTCCTCAGGTCACTTGTTAAAGTTGGGTTTTAAAGCATCTCGGCCTTTGCTGGCTCAAAATAACTTCCGTCATTTCGCCAAAATCAGGCTGGGAATGCCCACATAGATGGCGCAACTCCCGGAGTTGCGCCATCTATGTCCCAAAAAAGCAGCTTGATGTTGAGAAAAAAAAATGGGGAGAAACCAGCGCAGAAGATTGCAAAAAATATGTCATTTTTAGGGACATAGATGGGTCAACTGCCCTGTTTTAAAGGGAGTTGAGCCATCTATCCCCCATTTTTTTTTGACATAGATGGCGCAACTCAAGATTCTGAGCCATCTACTTTTACATTAGAGTACTACCTTTAAACATCTTAAAAACATCATGTTTCACAAGCTGAAATGGCCAAATTCGGACCCCTTGGGCCTTGCAGAATTGTTGCACCTCGTCCGCCGGCACCGCGCGGGGGCGCTGGTCTGCCTGTGACTCTGGGAATCTTCACTTGTAACTTCCAGGGATTTCGAGTTTTCTACTGCGCCTATCTGCTTTAATGATTTTTATGGAAAGTTTTCCTCCCTTGAAATCCTCCAGACTTGCAGCCGTCCAACCCTCCGGTTTTGGAGCCCTCCAGCCCAGGAAACATTCTATGTTTGGAACCCTCCAATCTGGGACGTTCTGCGTGAATTCATGACACAATAACGAGGATAACCCTGCAACTGCAGTACATCCTTGTTGCTTAAACCCCATTCCATGTCCAATTCTGCTGCTTCAAGTTTCAATTAATCCCGTATTTTTTTTGTATTTGGTAGCTTTTGTATCACCATTTTTCCAAGGTGATCCCCATTAATTACCATCTGGTTCTTTAACATAGCCATGGAAAATCACCATTTTACTAGGTAAACCATTGTCAACCATCCAAAAACATCTATTTCTATGGGCCATTTTCCATGGCTATGTTAGTCATAACCAGAGGGTAATCCAGCAAAGAATCTCCTTCTCATCCCTCCTCTGCCCCTGGGCCTTGTTGGCCACCAACGCCAGTAGCGCGCCCGAAGGACCCAGGCCATTCTGGATGCTCTCCACCCAACGCCTGCGGCGGATGAAGCACTGAGAAAATGGAAAAACACCTGTCGTTTTTTGTGATATCCTCTGATAATTTGTTACATAGCTATAGAAAATTACCATTTTTGATAGGTAAACCGTCTATTTCTATGGACCATGTTCAATAGCTATGTTAAAATAACCAGAGGGCTATTTAGGAGGATTTCAAGAAGTTCACCAAATTGGTTTGTTTCAGTGGGAAAACCGTGGATTTTGGCGGTCATCTTCTGAGCAATGTCATAGAACTGTTGGAATAGTGTTTTTCTGAATTGTTGGTTGACGGGGCTTCTTTGCTCATCAGCTTTGATAACCCTCGAATTTGATATGCATATATATATATATATGTGTGTGTGTAATATATATATATATACATATATGTATATATATCATGTAAATATATTAAATAATTTTATACCCACTTGCATTTGTATGTATATATATAATGTAATGCGTATCTATTTCCCTTTCTGGAAGTCGCGGTCTGAAAGGATAAGGGCCGTAGCCTGTTGGGAAGACTCTCTCTTGGCAAAGTTTGCGTTGCAAGGAGGCCCCACGAACTGCTGCCAGGACTTTCTCCGGGTAAGCAAAATAAAATAAATATGTAGACGGTAACTACATTTTAAAATGAATATACAGACTTTTAAATATACGAACAGGTATTTTAGACTACCTCCGGGAAGGTTTTCCTTGGCCAGCGCGGCCATTTAAACAAATGGAATCCAATTCATTTAAACATACGGCAACTACATTTAAATATACAAACTGGTATTTCATACTACCTCCGGGGCCTCGTGGTCTGGCCCGCTCCACATATTAAAAGGTCGTTACCGTATATATAATTATCGTATATATAATTGTGTATGTATATATATATATACCTACAGCCTCCAAAGCCCACTCTTTTTTTGGTTGCCAGAGAAAAACCAAAACATGTTTTTTCAAAATAAGCCGTTTTTTCAGCAAGGCATTTGGTTATGGTAAATTACGGGTAAATTATGGGAAATTATTGGTAAATTACGGGCAAATTACGGGTAGAATTTTGGAACACCATTATTTTCAAAAAAAAAAAGTATTTTCTTAAAATCTTGAAAAAACATGTTTTTCGATTTTAACCCAAAAGCAAGTGGGTTAAGGGTGCCATAGGTATATACAAACGGCTTCTGTGAGTCAACCAAGATAATTCACCGGATGGTGCACCCAATCCTAGCCATCATTCCAGTGACGTCGTGGTAAGGTCGCTGTAGTCTACCCAGGAATATATTTCGGCCTGTTGTTTATCGCCTCCTAAGGGTGAAACTTATGAGTGGGAAGTGTGATACACCCATCTAAACGTCCATCTACGTGCCTGTGATAATCAGATTAATGCTCAATCCTTGTTGAAGTTTTGGTTTAGAAAGTGTTCAATCCTATAATTATCTATATTAACAGGGGCAAGGATAGTTCAATGGGTGTCTAGCCAGCCAAAAAGAATGTGGATATAGAAATGTTGATTTCGACTGTTTTTTTAAACAATCCGTTCGATCATACACCTCCATGACTCTAGTGATTTTGGTGGTACCAAGAGCTCTTCAGTCTTCAATATCAAAATGGGACGCCTCATTACCCAAGCGGCCCGTGTTTTGCAGGACCCTCAAAAATATGTAGACAAGTGTTGCCAGATTCCGAGGTTGTTTTTGAACATTTTGGCGAACTAGACAGTAAACATCGGTAAACCATACCCCATGTATATCCATTTATTATCATTTGTCAAGTTCACCATATCTACAGTAGTCAAAGCCATACTCACAAAGATGCACCACCATTCTTCTAACATACTAATCCACAAACCTGAAGCAAACAATTTTGGGGCGCGATTCCCCAAATCCATGGAATTTCCTTTCCCACCATTCACAGAACCATTTGGGGGCATACCACCCGTTTCCTAGATACCCCAAAAATCATCGTATCTGAGTTGATATTTCCCATGATATTCCATTATATCATCCCCATTCAAGTACATCCCAATTTTAAAATCTTCTAAACAATATTGTCCTAGTTAGGAGAGAAAAAAAAAGAGCCAGTTTGGTCTATGTTTTGCTATCATCTACCTGTCAGTTGGTTTTCATGTGGGGAATTTATTCACCAACCAGTGGGAAAAGGACATCTATGATCATCTATGGTCCTATAAACTCAGTATCTTCCATTCTATCATTGGATGTTCCATGATATCACCCCTATTCCGGTTGGGTACATCCACGTCCGTACTTGTAGGATGAAGTCCTGCACCGATTTCTTGGTTTATTGCAGGGTCTCCATACCAAATTATTGGAATAATCTGAAGGAAATTGGTATGGAGTAAAAGAGTAAAAGCCATCTAACCAGAAAACAACTGGCTTCAATCATCCCAGGAAACTGTTTATTCAACCATCTTTGGGGTTTGAAATTTTTCTGTTTACACCAGATTTCAACCACCCCAGGTGCAAGATTTCTTCCATTAAATCCGTACAGGATGGTGCCCCCCAGTGATGTAAGTTGGTTTATGATCCCCATTAACTAGTTCGTTATATCTGCCATAAACCATAGTGAAATTGGAGTTATGTTCACCAACTTAGCTAACGAACTGGGGCACCACCTTGTATGTCTAATGGTCGGATTGCGTATTTGCGCCTGGCGCAAGCGAAGGACTCTGTCTTGGTGATGTCATACCTCGGCGGTTCGTCGGATTCGTCGGTGACACCAATGGGACGGGCACCAGAAACAATGGGACATGTGTACAAATATATGGCAATATAGATGAAAATACCCAGGTATTCATAGAATATGGTGATTTAACCAAAATCAATGGGGGGTTTAATGGGATTTTGGTTGCTGATTTATGATAGCTAAGTTGGTTAGTAACTCCAATGGTTATGGTACTTATAACGAACTAGTTACTCGAGATTATAAACCAACTTATAGCTGGGGGTGGCCCACATTGTAGTGTATACTCGCGATATAAACTGCAAAATTGATCACCAGTGAACTAAAATAACTAACTTGCTTGAAAGAGCCAACATCAACTATATCTTATTTTCAAGAAAAGGAATGTTCACATTTACCCCCTGGTAAACTAGCATAACTATGGAAAATCACCATTTTTAATGGGTAAATCAACTATAAATGGCCATTTTCCAGTTTGCAAACTGTTAGTTTACCAGAGGGTAACCCACCAAAAAAAACAACTGCCGCTGGCCGGCATCTTTTCTCCGTCCCAGTCCAAGGTACACAATGAGCAACACGTCCGCCTCCGCAATGTACATGGGAATCAAACTCTGAAAGCGACTCTGCCCGGCCTTGCTTTTGTGGGCGGCAGGACGTGGCCTAAACATCCTCACGGGCCAAAAGAAAATCCGATATAGACATTGATGTAAGATAATAGAAATCAATGTATTTCAATATGTTGTAAAAATTAGGCCCACCTTTCTCTAGTACATAATACTATATATATATATAGTATGTGTTGCTATCATTGCTGCATATACATACACACACATATATATATATGTGATTATATATGTATGGACATTGTCTCATGGGTTTCATGTCAGCAAACAAGAACAACTGCGGAGGGCACCACATTTTACTAATCATCGCAACCCCCAAATAATTGCTGAAATGTTGGCAACCTGGGGAATATGGAAGAAATATCGTCTCTCATATAGCCTCCAAAAGTTGTTCTATGTTTTGTTTTTGCTTTTGTTTTTTTAATTTCCGGGGGGGCCTACATATGTTGCACTTCCATGTGGTTGGAAAATACTTAGTATAACTATATGAATATATATGTTCAGTAAATATATATATATATAATTTATATATGTACATATATGAAACACTAAACTAATGAAATAAACGATTGCGGATTGTAGATACTTATATTCAAGGATGTTTCCAGAAAATGACTAAAGATGCGTATATAGCGGAAGGCTGTCTCTTGCCCTTCGCCCAACCAAACCGTGTGAATTTGGGAGGTGGGCATGATTATGTGTGTAAAATACTGTGAGCAATCATGTATGAAATGGCATGAACTATCCGGTGGCTAGGAGGAAGCCAAAGAAACTAGTTGTATAGTCTAGCATATATACAGTATATACCCTCCATACACATATAAATCCATAACATGTACACGTGTACATAAAACTGTTTTGGATGTCATAGATGTTCACCGATCCAGTTTTGAGTGTTTTTAAAACGCGGGAACATTAACGGTTGGTTTTATCATTGTTTATTATCAAACTCGTTTTTGACAAAACGTTTGTTGCCAGCGAGCCTCCTGCAAACAAACACACATCAAAACATGGTCTGGAAAATCAGCTTGCGCATTTTCTCCCTTGGAAACAAAAGGATATATCATCTTGACTTTCAGGGGGGACATGTACCTGTCTCATCCCATATTCAATGGAAAAATGATCCCTCCATGAGACTTTGTCACCAAGTCACTGTATCCCACAACTTCAACTTCAACATCTGGTCGTGCACTCGGACCTGCCATGGTTTTCTCGCAAACAAAGTGCTGGGGCCTGGGAACATGGGTTCCATTGCGGGCTATTGCATGCTAGGCTGAAGAGACTACATGGCCAATCTTTGATACCAATCGCAAAACACATAGAATTTAGCTGCTGGTTAGCAAGACTAGCAAGCATTCCCGTTTGTAGGAAAGCATTAAAAAATCTCAGTAGCCATCCAAACTTGACCAGCATAGTATTTCATTATTTACAAGCCACTTACTTGGTGAGCTGATTATTGACATACAAGTCTTCATGAACTACATATGCTAAATTCTGGGTTGATGTTTATCGTGTGCTGATTGAAAGCCGCATCAATGGGCAACATCGATGAATATGTTTTATGGATGTTTGGTGGTTCGTCTATATCTTCCCACTTCAAGCACAACAGATTAAGCTACTGTACATCCAACCCATCATGACACTGTCATGACACATCCAAGACCCAATCAAAGAGGATGAATTTAAAATTGCATTGCCGTCCTAACCACCCTCTTCCGTAAAGACATTCATAAATGGCTTCACTAAAATGTTGGAGCATTCTCTCCAAGATTCCTACATTGGATATAGTCTTCTGATATAGTGGCTTAAGTTTCCCAACCGTTGTCAACAGCACAATCTCAAAGAATGTGTGTGTGTAGCATTCCTGACCTCACCTTTCAACACACTGGTCATCACATGTATGTGAAGAATCGGGCTGTTTGTCAAGGACAGGCCCATCGTACTTCGCACAAAGAGGACGATGACAATAATTATAATGTGGTGCCCCCAAATATAAGTTGGTTTAGTTTCACCTCATTGACTAGTTGCAGTACCTAGTTCGTTATACCTACCATAAACCATAGTGAAATTGGAGTTATTAACCAACTTAGCTAAGTATGCCAGTGCTGTTTTCATCACTTTCCTTCACCCATTGCTGCAAAACAGGACAAGTCATTTGAAGCTGTGCCACGAGAAAACCCCACGAACGGGGTTCTTGCTCACGGCTCCTTCATCTAACGTTGCGACCTTTTATAGCACAAGATAGCACAATCATTCCCATATGCTCCATGTATGGAATATTTACCAACATTTGCCCTAAAAATCACCCAGTTTTGTAGGTAAATATACCATACATGGAGCATATGGGTTATTCAGTACACATGACAATTTCTTGCTGGCAGAGGTTACATGGAGATATCGATATCGGTATCTCCAACAAAACCTTGAAGCTGCGACGTCGCCACTATCCTCTGGTAGAACACCGTCATGGAAAATGGCCCATTTATAGATGGTTTACCTATTAAAAATGGTTATTTTCCATGGCTATGTTAAATAACCAGAGGGTATCCTCTGGTAATAGAACACCGTCATGGAAAAAATACCCGCCCTGTGTAGATGATTTACCTTGCTTAGAAGAAGGTACCCCACCAAATTTGATCAGATTGGGGTCGGGTTCCTTCATATTAATCTGGAAAAAATTGCATTTGGATCTTAGGGATTGATTAATCGGGTCATATACCTATGTATATATATAATTATATATATGTATATGCATATATATGTATGAATATACATATATATATATATGCACGGTGAACTTGGAGTAGTGATTTCATTCTGTCAGTCAATTAATTAGTCAAACAAGGTCAAATAAGAACAAAGATACAACATATACCCTGAACAAATTGGAATCTATATTAAAATAAAGTTTCAAATCTGACTCAAAGGCTTTTTTGACTTACACATTATGTAATGCTAACTATAACCCATGGCTAGTGCAATCTATGAAACCGACACCGTTGAACACTGCATACACTGCTTAGTCTACTGCACCATGCCTGGCCAAAACAAATTGCTTGGTGGCTCCCCTTAGGAAGAGCAAGAAGTTGGTTATAACCCGAGCTACAAATTAAGTTCTTCAATGGCAGATTGGCTTTGTCCAAAAACCAATCTCAAGATTGATTTTTCCAATCTGAGAGCCTTTGGGTCTGGGTATCGGAGAGATATACTCCTCGGCAGGGGAGCACAAGGATCTGTCCAGCTTGGAATTTCCATTTTGATGGCCTCAGCTCGGGCTGTCAGAGCCCCTGCTGTGGTAAACATTCACGGCATCAGCCTCTTCCCGTGCTGCGCACGGTTGCTCCCATTGCGGAGCCTCGAGTGGACCTGAACACATGGGCCTTCGCATCCAACATGTTTTTTTCGGATTGGAGGTCCAGCAGCACCTGGGTTCCAATTGGTTTAACATGGTTTCACTGGCTTAAACCCAATTCAGCAGAGTATTCCAGCACTGCCAAGACGTTTCCCAACAATGCGGAACCGAGCTTTCGCTGGAGGTTTCGGAGAGGCCTTGATCAACCGCTGCTTAAATTCTCGGTTTTGCGTTCACTGCGAACGCAACAAGTCACAGGGTAAGCTTACGGTTAGTCCAACTAATCATTGTCATAAAACTGAGTACAATGTTATATAAACAAAATTAAGCAACATTAAACAACTCACGATACTTGGGGTGAAAGACCAAGTCACCCCTTGTAGCACAGCACTCCCCAGTCGCTGCCTTCTTTACATTGTAGTCCATGGCTACCCTCAGTGCGCCGAGGCTAGGATCCAAGATGATCCAAGCGGTTGATGGAGTTGATGGAGGAGGAGGGACTGCCCAGCAGAATTGGTACAGTACAGAACCTGAAAACAATGGTGGTAAGCTATCCTACCCCATATGCTCCATGTATAGTGGTTTAAGTGGTTTATAGATTTATAGTGGTTTATAACTGGTTTTTTTCGTGGTTGATAATGGTTAACTGGTTGGTGGTTGAGCCCACCCCTCGGAAAAATGATGGAGTTCGTCAGTTGGGATGATAAAAATTCCAACTGAATGGAAAAATAAAATCCATGTTCCAAACCACCAACCAGCTATAAATGGATCAAAACCCTCTGTCACTCCTTTACAGTGATTGGTTGAAGGCGGGATTCCCTCAAAATGGGTCATAATAGCCACCGACTAACCAGGTAGCAGGCAGCATGACCTCTCACAAAAAGGGGTTCTGGTCACTATTCGAAGTTGTCACTATGAAACATAACGACGTGCGGCTCTCCAGAATAATTTTTTGACCGATATTACTCAAATCTTGAATAATTTTGCATATAGCACGGAGGGGCCCAACATAAGATCGATAATCGATACTATCGATTTAATGGTGGGATGATACTATTGTATTTCCTCTATAGTCTATAGGCATAAACTTTTGCGTGGGTCAACCAGTATTTACCCTTCCAACGAAGAAACCACATGTTAATTCGTATCATTGTTTATTGTGCATGAATTCCCCATGTTTTGGTGCATTTCTGCGTTGGTTGCATTACTATCTTTACTTGAATCACTCACATGAATGTAGTTTGTTAAGTTTTTTTCCTAAGGACCACGGCAACAGGTTCTGGTGGCCTGTGGCCAAAACGTACAGGGCAGTGACGACGCGTCGTGAGGTCGTGAAAAATGTTATCCCATGGTTCTTAGCACGGCCAATCTGCCAGATACCCTGCAGGTTAATAGTGGTTAATAAATGGTTAATAGTGGTTAATAATCAGTGCCAATCTTAGATACCCTGCAAAAAACAAAATTCTTAGCTGGTGAAGGTAGCTAATCCCATTGATACCAAAAGACTAAAGGATTAGTTTCTACATGTTTCTACCCATCCAAGATTCACCTAGTTAGATGGGCCCTAGTCAATTTGTGGCAAAATTAAGGTGTGCACCAAACCCGAGCTTTGACGCGTCTCGTGTCCCAGATTTCAATGTGCCAGTCCTCGTCGTGGCAGTGTCCGGCGCCACTTTGCACAGATTTCGCAGTCTCTGGGAGGCTGCAATGGGGCCAGGAATCCAATTTCTGCACGTGAAATTGTCTGTGAATCTGTCTTCGTGCTGAAGAATTTTGAGGGTACCAAACGAACTTTGGGAGCGAAGACACGAAAGATAATTGGGTTCGTGCCTGAAGTTCCAAAATAACGCAGTTATGTCAGATCTTTTATACGCGGGGAAAATATATTCCTATTGTCAGGCGGCAACTGGGTAAGTATTTCCCCATTTGTGGCAAGACATATAGACAGCCAGACATCATATCCCTGCCCGTATTTACAATCGCCCTTCCGCCAGGGCACGTGGGAAGAATCCCGGCATCAAATCTGTCATGGGTATAGCGCAAGACCTGCGAGGAGCAAAAGTCACCCGTGCTGTTGGAAAGCGCGAGGAGAGTGGGACAGGAAGGGGCCTTGAAAAATATGAACATTGGTTTACAACTGGGCAAACTAGGGCGGGATTTATGCTGTATACAGTTTGATGGGTTATATATCGACGGACTGAAACTTAGAATGCGCACTTGGAAGCGGCACTCCACACGTGCAAAACTGAAAAATTGCATTTTACCAGCATTTCGGAACTTAGAATGCGTCCCCCCACCTAGGATGAAGCTATTCGGCAATCAACAGTTAGAATGCCTCCAAGGACATATGTTTTTTTCCAGGCAGAAAAGCATATATATCCTAGACCCTCCAAGTCACCATAAAAAAGGTAGTTTACCACATAATTTTAATAGTTTTAGCAATTTTCAGGGTATTTGGAGGTTCTGGGTATATGAATGTACCTGTTTGAGAATATCACATTATTTTTTGTGCATTTTGCAGGTCTGGGTAAAGATTCTATGAAAAGTTTCAATGAACCAACAGGCAGCCCAAAGGCACTTTTACTCGCTTTCCCCATTCGATAACCTTGACAAAAGTGAGTTTCCCGTACAAAAAATGCGATTTTGGACACATACCTGAGGTAGATAGGCTTCTGGGAAAAGAGGACACACCCAGCCGCTAATGGTGTTGAACAGGCAGTTAGAATGTGGCTTTAGTAAAGGATCCCCATCATTGATAAATACCTTTGTTTTATCTCCTAGATGGGCCGCTAGCTGGAATGCCTGCAACTGTCACTGATTGGAAAAGATGTTTATTTATATGTTTTTTTTTAAACGGCAAAACTGGAAAATTGTATTTACCAGCATTTCAGAACTTTGAACGCCTCCCCCCACCTAGGATGAAGCTATTCGGCAATCAACAGTTAGAATGCCTCCAAGGGCATATTTTCTCCAGGCAGAAACACATATATATCCTAGACCCTCCAAGTCACCATAAAAAAGGTAGTTTACCACATAATTTTCATAGTTTTTGCAAGTGTTCAAGGTATTTGGAGGCTCTGGGTATATGAATGTACCTGTTTGAGAATATCATAATATCACATTATTTTTTGTGCACTTTGCAGGTCTGGGTACTCTTACTCGCTTTCCCCATTTGATAACCTTGGCAAAAGTGAGTTTCGGGTACAAAAATTGCGATTTTGGACACATACCTGAGGTAGATAAGCTTCTGGGAAAAGAGGACACACCCAGCCGCTAATGGTGTTGAACAGACAGTTAGAATGTGGCTTTAGTAAAGGGTCCATCATTGATGAATACCTTTGTTTTATCTCCTAGATGGGCCGCTAGCTGGAATGCCTGTAACTGTCACTGATTGGAAAAGATGTTTTTTTTAAACGGCAAAACTTGAAAATTGCATTTTACCAGCATTTCAGAACTTTGAATGCCTCCCACCCCACCTAGGATGAAGCTATTCGGCAATCAACAGTTAGAATGCCTCCAAGGACATATGTTTTTTTCCAGGCAGAAACGCATATATATCCTAGACCCTCCAAGTCACCATAAAAAAGGTAGTTTACCACATAATTTTCATAGTTTTTGCAATTTTTCAGGGTATTTGGAGGTTCTAGGTATATGAATGTACCTGTTTGAGAATATCACATTATTTTTTGTGCACTTTGCAGGTCTGGGTAAAGATTCTATGAACAGTTTCAATGAACCAACAGGCAGCCCAAAGGCACTTTTACTCGCTTTCCCCATTCGATAACCTTGACAAAAGTGAGCTTCCCGTACAAAAATTGCGATTTTGGACACATACCTGAGGTAGATAGGCTTCTGGGAAAAGAGGACACACCCAGCCACTAATGGTGTTGAACAGACAGTTAGAATGTGGCTTTAGTAAAGGATCCCGATCATTGATAAATACCTTTGTTTTATCTCCTAGATGGGCCGCTAGCTGGAATGCCTGTAACTGTCACTGATTGGAAAAGATGTTTTTTTTTAAACGGCAAAACTTGAAAATTGCATTTTACCAGCATTTCAGAACTTTGAATGCCTCCCCCCCACCTAGGATGAAGCTATTCGGCAATCAGCAGTTAGAATGCCTCCAAGGGCATACTTTTTTCCAGGCAGAAACGCATATATATCCTAGACCCTCCAAGTCACCATAAAAAAGGTAGTTTACCAAATAATTTTCATAGTTTTAGCAATTTTTCAGGGTATTTGGAGGTTTTGGGTATATGTACCTGTTTGAGAATATATATATATATACATACTTGGTTGTGCAGACAATTGTACCCCACAACCCATGTGTTCCCTGGTGTTTTTCTGGAAACATACATACTTGGTATGTATATAGAAAGTTTTTGTTGAAAACATGATGCAAACCCACCCATCCATGCTAGAATATGCTAGTGCCGGACCATGTACCTTGCACCCAATGAGGTTCCCTGAGGCCATGTTTTTTTTTTTTGACACGTATCTATATATTTATCTTTTTTAATATATGTACAGTATATATACACACACCGACGGACTGAAACTTCGAATGCTACGCTCCTTTCCTGAGAGTAGTTTACAGACAGTTAGAATGCTCCATGATGCCCCATCCATCATTTCAGTATATCTTTATCTATCTCAATCTAAACACTTTGGGTCAGCATTCTAACTGTCTGGTTGCCGCCCGGGGCTGCGCCGCATTCTAAGTTTACGAAAAAGGGA